ATGAGGCGCAGGATTCGACCGATTCTGGCAAGCCGGATGACTCTGAATAGTGTGGGAGATACAAAGTACTTCTCGATCATCTCAGCCAAAAACATACCTAGGAAAAAAGTGAATAATTAAAATTTTAAATTAATTAGTTACCTGTAGAAAAATTGAGTTATTGCTATCTCCAATATAATCAGTGTAGTAATTCTATACTATCACAAAAAATTATACTAATTATTACATTTTATTGAAAACTGTTAATAAGGTGAGTCTTTACTTATGTTGAAATGCTATCGTAGAGAAGGTAAATAAATAAAATGAAGACTGATTGTAGCAAGTAGGTAGTCCCTGTCAAAGCTTTCAGTAGTTCTTAAAATGGTTGGGAAAGGGATGTTTATATCTTAGATACAGCTAATTCTTGAAGTTGAGCCTTTAAGCATGTTCTTTATGAAGGATGATACTGGCTAAATTTCTGCAAGTCAGAGATTTCTTTAACAGATTTACATTTATCAGCACAATCTCTCTCAGATGTGTTACTCATTTGCACCTTGGAAAATCACTAGATTTTAACTGACAAATTTTAGTGTAGCAAAAGTAAAATAATCTCACCCATTTCACATAATTTTCAGTTTTAGTACTGAAAATAAATCTGTGATTAGTTTGCATATACCACTAAACATTCCTCTTTATATTTGTAGACATTAACCTAATATACCAAACAGTTCCATTATGTCTTTTGATGTGGAAAATGCCAGTGAATCTAATGGGAGGGATAAAACTCTTGTATGCAACATTACATATGTTGTATACTAGATAATATAAAGATCTGATTCAACATGCAAGTCATAGTAAAAAGGAAATTCTACAATCGGTATCAACATACTTGAAACAAATGTTTCCTATTTCTTCCACTAGTTCTTTCTTAAAAGGGAGGTCCTCTTACCTACTATGGAGAGAATCACAACCACAAAATCAAAAATATTCCAGCCTATAGTGAAGTAGTAATGGCGAAGTGAAATCAATTTCAAAACAAATTCTCCAGTGAAAAGGACAATGAACACCAGGTTAATCCGGGATAAAATTGTTTCCATTTCTTTACTCTGGTCGTCTGTTTCTACCATCATTGTGACCATGTTAAGGCAGATGAGTATCATGATGCTGATGTCAAATACTTGTTTGGTTACAAAATCAAAGATCATGCCTTGGAATTTATTCTGCAAACACAAAGATGGAGTTCAGTTTATAGAGTGAAAATAATTTTCTTTTAAAATGCCAAATGAGAAAACAACTCCAAGATTTAGGAGTGCAGAGCAAGACTCATTCACAATAGAGGCAATAAGCCAAACACATGCTGGTTTATATCTCATCTTGCTAGAGTGAATCAAGAAATTTGCCACTGTTGGCTGAAGAGACAAGAAGGGAAGAAACGCTGCAATAATAAGAGTAATAACAATGACAGTTAATATTATTGCGATTATTAGGTGGTGTAAATTCATAGCCAGTAAGAGTACTAGCAAAATAAAAGCTGATTTTCTTATCTTTATTCTCAGATGGTTTTAGAATACTAACCCTCTTTCTTCCTTAAACTAATTGTGCTTAGTGAGATCATTGGGCTGCTAAAGACACATGTCTTAAACACACCAAGACTGTAATATCCTAGTTTTTCTTTAGTACTTAGCTCAATGTTTTTTGCCATATGTCTCTCCTTAGAAAGTCTATTTTTAACCACTTGGTGCATAAGGTGCAACAAGTATTTTATTTTTTAAAACAGTGTAGGAGTTCAGTAAATAACAAGAGTAGTGTCTTAGCTTAGAGACAAATTTATCTTAGTCTATGCTTTACTCCCTAGGACATTCTTTTATTCTGTAAGATTTTCTGCATCTGTCCTTTCCAATAGGTTACCAGTGCCCCTTTCTGTCTTCAGCAGCAAGGGCCAGTGCATCCCCATTTCCTACAAATTCTCTGTGAGGAGAAAAAACAGAAAATGAAGTTTATCCCTGGTAAGTAGAACCAATAAATGATCCAAACAATTGTGGTTTTCCAGGACTTAGGCAGGGAATTTTGGAATTTATCATTATTAAATTTAACATTATTAAATAATTTTGTTCATACTTCAGTGTGTATGTTTTTAAATACTAATTATCTAATCTGATGGATTCAAAAAGGGACAAGTTCTACCTTTACAAGAAAATAAATGGAAAAAATGTTTTATTTCCAGACCTATAATCTTATCTTGTGGACAAGACTATATTCCCAAATTAATATTTAATATTAAGGGTGTAAAAATCAAATCACTCGTACCACTGGCCTCGGTATAGGTTTCTGTGGCTTTTTGGATCCCAGTTTTTTCATTGCATTATAATATTTCTTCTGTTCTTCTGTCATAAATATATCTTGACCTCCAAAGTAAAGAAACAATATCAAAATTTATTAGTATCATGTCCACACATAAAACATTTATCTACAGTATGTCTCCCTGTAATATAATATTAAAATTATATTTAATTTATATAAAAAAGGAAGGTTTTTTTCAGGTGTTTAGAGGGTGGATGCTCATATATATACCTAACACACAGGAAGAACCCATTACTGATACCTTGTCAGCTTGGCAGTTGAGTTTTTCCAATGTCTTCATGTTCGCTTTTGCTGAAATGGCTAAAAGCATTCTTGCTATACTGATGCTGTTCAATAACTCACTCATTGGGATATGTTCAGTGAATAGGAGCGTGACTAGTGCCTTGCATGGCCTATCTTCTGTATAGATTTTTAGGATTACAGCTCGACAGGTCTAAAAGAGGTATAACTTTGAGGCAGAAGTTGTGTTAGGAGAGTGTATTAGTATTTAATCTGTGGGTTTTAATAGCAAAAAAAACCCTCACATTTGATGTAAAATTAAGAAAAGTAATTCATGTCATGCCATAGCAAATGAACACACTACTGGAATGAACCAACCTTGACAAACTCAAATCAGCCTTTGCAGCAGATGCAAATGCTGCCAGTCAGATGTGCAACTGACTGACTGACTTCCAGTATAGGTAAACTGTGCTTATTGACAAATGTGCTCTGAGTCAGATGGAAGCACAATGTCAACATCACCATCTGCTAAATTGGCTACCACAGCCTGAAGCATCACAACATTGATAGTAACCCCAGACATGGAAGCTAAAGAATATTTGCACAAGGAAAAATTTGTGTAGTTCACAGTTTTCTTTTACCAGGGATTCTGTCTGGTATTGCTGTTTTTTAACTGGTGATTGAAAAAAAAAACAACCAAAACTAAAAAAAACCCAAATAATATGAAACTGCTTTTTCACAGCACACAAAAATTTAGAATAACCCTGGTATTTGACAACTAAAAACTGTTAGTCTTCAAAATATTTTAAATGTGATTATTGGTATTTTTATATTTTAAAGTTCTTTAAAACTGAACTGTATGCACTATCAATACAACTATTTTAAACATACTTGTATGTCAAAAGTATACAGAAAGAAACCACCATTCCCTGTATATCTTTCCTTTACTCCTGATAGAAAATTATAGATTGTATTTGTGTCTAATGAATTAATCTTATCCTGATAGAAGTGTAGATATAAGTGTTACTTATATCTACAAGCCTATTCATACAAGGTCTATTTGACTTATTGTTTCATCAGTTTGCATTATATCAGTTTGCATTATTCATTGTATCAACACAATGCCATATTGTGTCTTCACTAAGCGTCAAGAGTTTGTAAGAATAATTAAAATGAAAGTACCTTATTTCATGCCAGATTATATTGCAGCTAATCAAACTAATAATTCACATTCACTTTTCACGTCTTCATTGTAACTTTCCTCAATTTGCAAATTATTACGAACCAACTTTTTATTTATCAAAAGGCTAAAAGTGCAAAGTTCAGAAGCATATCCACAGATTTTAGCACAGATTATTATTTAAAAAGAGACACTTTATTTAAGATTTTGAAGTAACTTTTGACTTTTATTAGCCTTACAGAAATAACTTTTTAATTCATTATAGCTAATAGTTCATACCAATATGGAAATATTTAAAATACTTATCTTCTTTTTTTGTTGGTTGAAGTTGTCTATAATAACACCAATGAAAAGGTTCAAGGTAAAAAATGATCCAAATATGATAAAGATGACAAAATAGAGATACATATATAAGTTGTCCTCATACTTAGGTTGATCTTTTACCTACAAAATATAAAACAAATTATTACCCATGAGAATACTAGAGGTAAAAAACCAAAATGTATAATTTAGAATTACGTATATGCCATCTCAGATAGAAAAGCTATGAACAGCACTAATTTATTAAAAAGATCCAACTTGTTCATTCCAATCAATATTTGGAGAACTGGAAGCTGACAGAATTATTTCTCATATGAAATTTTTAGGTAGATGTGCCCAAAGATATTTTTGAGTATGTACATACATAAAAAGTTCCTCATATAGAAGAAAGAAGCAATGTGGGATGCAGAGCAGTCATTAATACTTAAAATTTTATTATTAGAAATCTAAATATTTTATATTGTGTGCAGTATATTATCATGGAAAAGAATCAATAAATTTTACTATTGCCTGAATCTCCCTGGAACTCTTTTGGTCCTGCATGAGTGTTCTTACATTCAGATAGGAACAGATGTTTTCAATAATTATCTAGTGAATATATGTTTTGTGAAATCCATTAAACTGAGGTTGTTTCAAAGGAAGATTTTGTTATTGTCTCAATTTTTTGGATGCCATATCCCAGCATCTGCACCTCTACTGCACAGCAAGCTTGAGTGTAGAAATGCTAAAGATAATGAAACAGGGTATTTTACTCTGGGAGACAATATCATTAACCTGACTATTTGTGTAAATTAAACGGAGTATTAGTTTTGTAGCCAAAATAAAATTCTTATCCCCAGAAAGCTTAACAGGTTATCTTCAGCCTTAAAATCTAATTGCACTAAAATATATAGGTAACATAGGTACTCAGCCTAAGGAAACAACTAAATGCACAGTAACAAATTATAAAACCTGATTAATGTATTTCATATTGAATAACTGCATCATATAATCTTAAATTAATTCATACTTACGATTACCAGAAGAATTTTTCAAAAGTCTCTTCTTGTTCTATTACATTAACTTTATGCTTCCAAAAAAAAGTCCACTTAATTTAGGTTTTTTGGCTAAACAGAAGGAAGTGGGATTCTTTCCAGTAAAAATTCTGAGATTCAAAAAAATATGTATTGATGCTAACTATAATTATTTGCTGTGTGTGTAGCTGTTTGAATTTTATACTCTTTATCTGAAAATAATCAACAGGTGACCTTTGAAAGATTTACACTTACATCTCGCGAATCAACAGCAGCATACATAATATCCATCCATCCTTTGAAAGTAGCCTAATAATAAAACAAAGTTGTTTATCTTCTACATAAACAATCATAATACATACAATAACTAGGTTATTTATTCATCTGCATCTCCACTTTTAATAAAATCACTTCTAAATTTTTGAACCACACTTGACAACACAGGCATCATAAATATTTTTTGTAGCAATACTAGTTTTTTTAATGATTTTCTTTTTAGTTACTCAAATAATATTAAAAACCAGCTCTGAAGATCTCAAGACAGTATGTTTGAAACTGCAGATGTTTACTTTGCAGATGAAGAATGATAGCTTCAGACAGACATTATTGCTGGAGATATGTAGGTAGGATCTACTAGAATCACACATGGCCACAGCCATTTTGTTTACAACGTGAATTGATGGAATCAGTAATATAACTTCTGGACAGAAATCAACATGTGTCTGAATGGGTTTTATTCTGTGTCTAAACTGACCTAGTATTTTTAAAAATGTTTTAATCCCATATAGCTAAAAAGAATAGGATGTCCATTTTCTAAGGAACACCTAAGTTGGTGTGACATGTTAGTTGAAAGTGTGAGTGTGCAACCATTAGCCAGGGTTTCCAAGCTTATACATAATAAAGAAAAAAGAGCTAAAAAAGAGTGTGAAATGAACAAAGAGCATAATTCCTGAGGAGGTTTAGGAGAGGAACCATCACAAAGAGTTTATTTCCATCTGTGCTTGCCAGAAGTGGCTTTGGTACTTTAGTACAGCTGTCAGTTTCCACAGCAGAAAACTTGTACTCTGGAAGCATTCCTATCCTCCTGAATCTTGCAGTGTGGTACCAGTTACTAAGAAGGTACTTCCAGCCAGGCTTCAACATCTTTCTGGCTCAGTTGGCAATTGCCAGCCATTTGGTGCACTTTGCGTAGCAATATTAGGAAAGGTTCAGAGTTAGATAAGAGCAATAAATACAGAAGAGTGAAGGGAAAATGTTAATGGAGGCTATCAAGTGAAGATGTGATACAAAACATGCTCAAAGATCTCTTAGTCTCTATGGGGAAAGTAAAGGTCAGAAGGAATATTTGAAAAGGAAAATTAGGAAAAATCAGAATGGGGGAAAAAAAAAGGAGACTGCAAGAGAAAGAACGAAAGGCTCACAGTAGTGAAGTACTTATTGAAGACCTAAACTGTCTGGATGTGTGACACAAATGACATTTATGCATAGCTTCAAGAGAAGCAGTTTTCCTTACACATCTTCAGAGGCACTGGTAGCAATGAGATCTGAAGCCAGAGAATCAGTCATCATCCAGTATTACTACTCAGCACATCAGAGTCACATTGCCTTTACAGGCAAAACATTTTAATCTAGTTAAAATTAGTAGTTAATTTTGGAGTTAAGGTCAGATAGAGATACTGACCTGCTCTGAGATAGAAGAATTCTTAGATAACTTTGAATATCAGAGCTGTAAAAATATTTTCAATGAGTGAAGCTGTATGTTGAGTTATATAGACAAGTGATTCTACATAGTTCAATCACCTAAATGTAATTACATGCTTTCTTGCTTGTGTTTTGAATCAGATCCTAGCTTTAGAAGCTCCATTCTAAGCAAGGAACCTGTAAAGAGCTAAGGTCTTTATTCCTTTGACACAAATAAAATATGCTTAGTACCTAGAATAAAGGAAGTTCAGAACACAATGCATAAGATAAGCAATTGAAGGAGAAATGCAATTTACAGATTTTGCATAAGTAGTTGTAATTAATGGAATGAATATGCTATGCAATAACATCCAGTACTTCACAAGGATAATACTTATTTAAATTTATAAGTAACATAATACTTATTTGGTATACTATAATGATTCTTTAATGAGCATTAAGGAATATGATAGTTCTATACTGTGCACCACTGAAAAGATTCTTTTATTTTTTACACTTTTATTTTCTACACTATCTTCCCATTATTATTATCAACATCCTGAGACTGTATTCTCTAGTCTTGGAAAGGAAAATTACTATAATTTTAAAAAAATTACAAGAAACAATGTAATAGAGTTGCATGAGCTGTACACTATTGCTATGAAATTATTCCTCTACTTAGCAGTCTGAATTTGCCCATTTTTCCTAGATACCTTTAAAAAGAGTAAAAAAAAAATATATATATACATTTACTTACTACTTGAAGCAGAGCAAGATATCCAGCTCCTACATTATCAAAGTTTACTTTCACATTCTTCCATCGGGCACTTTGATTGCTTTTTATGAGTTCCACACACTGAGTATAATTGTTCACATCACTGATATCAAACATCTCACCAGTTGTGGTGTTGACACAGTGATAGAATTTTCCAGCAAAAAGATTTACTCCCATGATGCTGAAGATTAGCCAGAATATAAGACATACCAGCAATACATTCATGATAGACGGGATTGCTCCTACAAGGGCATTTACAACCACCTAGTGTACAAATTAGACAAAATAACCATTTAGTTTATGGAAATAAAATGAAAAATACTTGAAAATACTTAAAAAATGTCAAAACAGTATTATTATGAGATGGACAGTTAAAATATTACAATAAAATTTTGGGGGGAAATTTTAACGAAGGTTTAATAAAATGCTAATGAGAATGCAAAAAGTAGGAAATAAAATTATATGGAAACAAAGACAATGCAAAAGTTTGAAAAAAAAAAAAAAAAGCAAAGGAAAACCTGTTAGTAGCAAGATGAATTCTTAGAATTTGTGTGCTCTAGAGGAAAAGAGAGAAAAAAAAGTTAAATTCCAGCAATATAAATTAAAATATATAAATAGAAAATAAACCAGAAAAAGCTCAAAGAATGATGATGTGAAAGACTGAATAACATTGTCTGCATGTAAAACTTTCATTACTAATGATTTTATTATTAGAAAAGTTATGTATATATTGGCATAAGTGTATTTTTGTATTCACACAGAATGCAACAAAATTAAGGATATCTTATTTAATTTTTATTAACAGCATTTGCTCTAAGTCTTGATTTTAAATTGCCTGGGTCACTATAGTTGCTCTTACACATATCCTTTTTCTTTTTAATTGGTTGCATTTATTTCCCTTGAGCTACTCTTATGGGCAAATGGCAATAAAAGACCAGATTAAAACTTTGGACAAAAGTTTTCTCTTAGTTATTGTAATTCAACTAAAAGAAAGTTGCAGATACTCAAACAACAGTTTTCTAGCAAATCACTAGAGACTGCAGTAGTCTTTTGTGTGTGGTTTTGAAAAAGGTAGTATTTTTCATTTCACTGAGTTGACTAAAAGTAGGCGAGCATCGATAGGAGTTTTACTTATTTATTAGATACTTAATGTGTTGTTTGTATTGCCACTCATGTAAAATACAGCGGTGATGGTGATGTGCACAGGACACACTTCCCTACACTGGCAGGTGTGGCCACCTCTAGGATATCGGCAGCTTTGCCCAGACAGGAACCACATTATTTAGTTGGCAAGTGACCTATGACTGAACTATAAATATGCATTGCAGCACTGGGGTATTTTGAGGTGAAAGATTAAAAGGAGATTTCTCAATAACATTTTCTTTTTAATTTTTTATGTATCAATTTTTTCAGTAAGTAGCATGCTCTGCTACAGTTTATAAGAGGGTTTTTCTGGGAAGGTTTTTTTGGTTGGTTGGTTGGTTTGTTTTTGTCAGATTGGCAGACTATGAAAACTACAATCTGCTTAACAGGAGGGTTTTAGCTCTCTTTACATTCATGTGAAGGAAAAAGTCTCTACCTGAGGAAAGATTTCCCATCTCTCCCCTTCTGTACTTCCAAACCTATCCTTATGTCAGGTGTCTTTTCAAAAAACCTTTCCCTAATAATACAGCATTTATTGCAGGATATTTTTTCCCCAGGGAGGTAGATAGGGAGACACAGTGAAGCTTTCATTTCATGTGTGTTTTGTTGGTTAGTTTTGTTTTGTGGATAATTGTGTTCCATCCTGAACCACTGACCAACTAACACAGAACTGAAATTAACTACGGGAACGGAGTAAAAAAATTTCCCAGATAAATTGCAGGAAAAAACCTCCAATGCTCTACTGTAAAGTTTGTCATGTCCTTTTATTTTTCTAGGTCCACAAATCAATTGAAATTTTAACAGTCAGGGGCTGGGAAAATACAACTATGCAGCAGTGACCAGGCAAATTTATTGAGCTCAAGGTCTAATTTCGAAATGTAAGATGCACATTGGTCTTGTTTGTAAGGACATGTTGAAAGGCCTTTTTCCCATGCTGAAGTTCTTGCCTTCCCATGTTGAAGTTCTTTGAAGAAAGCATGAGTGCAACCATTAATACATTAATTTTTGTACGCATACATTTGTTAAGACTCATTCATTTTATCTCACCCTCATTCCTTCAAATCGTGACAAGGCTCTTAAAGGTCTTAAAGCTCTTAATGTCCGTAGTGATTTAATGGCACCAAGTTCAGAATAGCCCAGAGCATTGGCTATTAAACTAACCAATGAGACCTATCAAATAGAGAAAAAAAAATTAAAAATAGTTCTACACTGTTTCTTTTAAATTAATAGAAATTCAAACAACAAATCAACAGTGACAAATTGTAGAATGCCATCATTTTCATAATTGCTTTCGGCAAGAGGTCTTATAAAGGCATGGTTGAAAAAGGAATATATGCTATTAAATGTCTGTCTGTAATGGTTGGATAGGGTTTAACTGTCATATGGAAGCATACTGTTGGTGAAAGATAAAATTTTCAGGAATATTTAAAAACAAAATAGTCATACTTTCCATAACTTCATTAAGGCTCAACCTTCCAAACAATTTAAAATTCTGAATACATTAAATTATTTTATTAACTTCGGTCAATACTGTGAATATCTATAAACACAAATAATATACTAAATATTGTAGTAGCTAATTACAAGTATTTGTTATAAATATTACTTCTAAGTGAAACAGTTCATAGCAACAATAACCAGGATATCTCTGAAATATGTATTGAAAGAGGTGATACTTTCTCACTTGCCTGGCAAGTCTCTGTTTTTTTGGGTTTTTTTTTGTAATCTTCTAAGTATGGAAAATATAATGTGATAGATATTAACAGCTGATCACCTTATATCAGTAAGAGCTTTATTATCTACAAGTGTTAAGCTCCTGATGCATGTTATTGGGATTTTGTTAAAAGACAATGCACTTAATTAAAGAGCAATTAATGTTCTTCTCTAATGGAACTGAGCTTTAGACAGTGTTAATATGAAAGGAATTAATTTTCTTCAAGCAGTTTTGGAGACAGGAGTGAGGAAAAATCATGCCTGACTCATATTTTATTCATTTCTACCACCAAAAGAATAGATGGCATGTATATGAACATAGGCATATTTTGGTCATTAAGAAAATCCCTTAAATGTTAATTTCTGTGCCTCAGTTTAAAGAACTCTTCAAAGACTGTACAGAAATAGCAGTTCACTGGTAATGGTGGTAAGATTTTGTCGCTTATATGAAAAGTTGGTTTCCAATGTTACTTATACGCATAAGGAGCAATTAAAGAACAAACACAAGAGTTATAAGATCATGTCTAAGAAGGACAGTCCAAGAGCAAATACAAATCAATTATTCATTGCTATGTTGCTGTGTATATTATCTAACAGAAAATAGTGTTTTAGTGAATTCATATTGCTCAACATTTCAACTGAAGTACATGTCAGAATGTAATTCTTTTTAACAAAGGAAAGGATTATTTTATTGCTCTAATGGATAAATGGAACTTGCTGTAATTTCTAAGCATACTAAGAAGAAAATCTTTCTAATTTTCTTAGTCTGTAACTGAAGTCTGTTCACTTATTAGAGATAACAGTATTTTTCAGCTATTATATTAACAATTGACATTATTATTAATAATTATCATTAATACAATTTCTTTTACCTGTGATGCTACAGTGAAAACATTTTATCCTTAGTCACCCATAATATGTTCCAGAGATAACAAGACATGGAATTGTCTGTATTTTTAATAGAATATTCATTTATTCACTCAACAAATACCCAGGCGTAACAATACACCTTAGTGTAAAGACAGCATTATTTTATGAATTAAAAATAAACAATGAAACAAATATTTGAAAAATATCTCTTTCACTGGGAGAGTGAGGTGTCCTATAAAATTCAACTCACATTAATGGCTCCTTCATTTTAAAATTTTGTCCCCAAATTTGCACTGTGCCTTACCTATCTTTCACAAACAAGACCCCTTCCAAACTGTTAGGTAGCAGCAGCTCCTGAAAGCCTTCAGTGGCACTGTGTCTATTGGTAGTTCTTAGGTTCTGACTGTAAAATTCTTCAGTCTTGTTTGTGTTGCCCATTTCAGATTACTGGCAGATTTCTTACCATGGTGATGATGCTCTTCTCTTACACCATAACATGAAGTTTTTTCTCAAATAAATACTTATCTATTGGAAACAATGTGTTTTCCTCTGGACAGGTCATATGGGATGCAAAGTTTTGCTTGGAATTCCATTGTATTATTGTATACAGCTGTTCTGTACTTCTCTGGTGATCTGAGTATTGTTAACTTTATCATCTCTCATTTGTTCCACCTGTTTTGTTACCAGTATGTGAGAAAGTAAATGTCTCTGTACACTGATAAATATATTCATACATGCAGATGCAGTAATTTTAAGAAATGAAAATGAACTCAAAATGGTAGAAAGATATGCCTCCTAAAATTGAAGGATTGTATGTTCTTATTTCTGTTTGTCTTCTAATACAGACTATCTGTTGCAAAAAAAAAGCGTTTAGCAGTGATAGCCCTGCTCAAGGTCTTTAGTCAGGCCATACAGTAGGATGGCATGGTAGAGTCTTAAACTGAGGTAGGCAGATGTACCAACAGTCATCTGTCACAGTTGTAAAGTGACAGAGCTGAAAACCAACATTTTTTAGTGTAATTATCAAAATTCAATTTAGTCACAATCAGTGAGAGCAACTGTGGCCACTTGTCACAGTGACGGACTCAGGTATGTGAGATATTAAAGGTCAAAGCCCTAAAGGACCATCTGTGTTTACTCTTGAATAATTTCAGAGAATGGAATTAAACAATCTGATTAACTTTAGTTGCTTCTAATTAAGAAGGAGACACTGGTGTTCTCACTGACAGAATCCTGCTGAATCACACCTGTTTAAACTTTAGTTAAAGCACTTCAGAGTCTGCTTTTCTGTAGGAAGAGAACATGATCTCATGTGTTTCTTTAAAGTGCTGATGGTGCTAAAGAAATTGCTGAGTTAGCCTTAAACACAGTAAGGCATTTTTTACCTCTTGCTAGAACATTGAAAATAATTCTTCAACAGTAGAATGTTTCAATCTTATTTATTAATGTTTTTGTTTATAAAATTATAAACTATGGTAAAAATCTAGCAACATAAGCTGCTTTACTTATAGTGATGTATTTTTAAGTTTGAAAGCCTGCTCAGATAACAGCATCTCTGAGGCTAAACTAGAAAATCACAGAGTACAGTTAATAATCAGAATAATCTGGTTAGGTTTAAGATACAAAACAATATTTAAAACATGAGTTGTAGTTTATCTAAAAAAAAAAAAAATCAATTTTTAACACAATCCTGTAAGACTGCGTCTCTCATTTCATTAACATCCTCCTAGGAAAAGCATTCACATTGCTTCATTCTAGTGTAGATTTTCAAGACAGAGCTAGAATTTAACTGCATAACAAAACTAACACAGGCTGGTGAGAAAAAAGAGAGGGTCATCCATTTTGAATTATGGGCCACTCTAGCTAGGCTTTTTTTTTTCCTGTTGGAGTTACAAATATGATACATTTCTATATACATATGGAATAAGTATTGATGAGACCAGAATTTATGCAAGTATCTCAAGAAATATGGTAGCATGGGCAGAAATTACTATAAGTGCACAATTGCCCTCAGATGCGATCTCTCAGTTCCCCACTGAGGACAAGTATAGTCAATGAACTGGGTCAGATAATGTGTGAGGCAAGAGACCAAAATATTCTGGGAGCAAAACCAGCTTTGATCCCTTCTGACAACATAAGCAAGGCTCTTGCACAGAAGTGTTTCACAGCTGGGAAGGCAGCCAAGAAGCCTTGTATTCTCCTCTATCATAAACCATGCCAAGTCATAGCTGATTTAGCTATTGCAGATTGTCAGTCCATTAAAACCAATTATTTTTTAGATCAAATACTAGAACTGATTACAGGATAGTATTCAGTGAGAAAGTTCTGAGAACTTAGATGAAATCTGGAACAAATTAATGGTTTCATTTGAAAAGCTGCAGTGTTCAAAGAAGAAACTTGAACCATGAACTGTCTTATTTTCTAAGGAATAAGGTAGCTTGGTCAGAGTCCATTCATGATAGCATACTTAAACACTAGATTTATTCCTCATAAAATCTCAAGTTTTATACATAATTTTTATGAAAATATTAACCATGAAGAATGGACAAACTAATAGCAAGCCATCTTTTTCCTTTTAGCATATGAATGGACTTTAAATAACACCTCCAAATCACTGCAGGCCATTACTAATGCAATATAACGATAAAATAGGAATTGTTTTTGCACATTTATAATATTAATCTAGTACTAATGAATTTTACAACACAGGAACTTTTCTATAGGTAATTTTACAATATTAATTTGTACTTACATCAACAATCAGGAAATCCAGCCAGCACCAGGCATTAGTAAAATATATTTGAAAACCATATGCTACCCATTTTAAAAGCATTTCCAAAATGAAAATATATGTAAAAACTTTGTCAGCGTATTCCAGCATGGTCTTGATAGTTTTGCGTTGTTCGATATATATATCTTCAAAAGCCTGTAAAAATATATGCAGGTATTACTACTGTTTCACAGAATATGCATGATAAAATTAAGTAATAAAGAATAAAAAATAACTAGAGAAGAGCTAATATTTCCCCTTGTTTTTCTTCATTTTCTTATTTTAAATGTTTGCCATCTTTAACCATTTTACTAATTGGAAAAACAGGAGACCTGTCTGGAAAAGTTTTTTGAAGTTGAAAAGGTTTTTTTAAAAATTCTGTTTTACTAATGAATGAAAAAATTCTATTTTACTAATGAAAGAAACTCACCACATGACTTTTTTATCCTCTATGGTATTTAAGAAACTTTCACATAGGCACAAAACCCCTCTTTTCTTATATATCTGTTCCAGATATTTATATTGCTTTCTAGAAATCAGTTAGATAAAACTTATGTCTAAAAAAATCAAATTAAAAAGCAGTGTATTTGCTAGAATGTACAGCTATGCATATTGATATGTAGCAAATGTGCAGCTTGAGTAAATCTGGAAAGGTGTGCAATGCACGCCTTTTTGGATAATGGTTGCTATGTTTAATTTGCAGCTACACTCTTCCTTATCTCCTGCCTTCAGAATAGGAAGTGAATGAAGTAATTGTTCTATTTTTTAGACTGGATTTTCAGAAGCAAAATTCATAAAGTGGATCAGCCTAGGAGGAATTAAAGACTCAAACCCATACTTTTAGCTATATATTCACAGTTAACAATGGCCCTTTATACTCAAATCTCTTGACAAATATGCTGAAAATTGGCAGGTAATTTAAACTTTAAGGAGGTATGCTGGCCTAAAGAAAATGGCACCATTTTATAATGGCAAGACAAAAGCATGATTAAAAAAGTGCATATGAAATGTGTCAAACTTTTTCAAATTCAGGTCAAGTTTCATTCTATCCTGGAATGATGAAATGTAGGGAGTTTTAGACAAATACAAGCAAAGGAAGTCCTTCTGAAGCAAATTTGTCTTTTGCTGTTGCTCCTAAGAGATATCAAAATATTTTAGCATCTGCAATTTTTTTCTACTTACTAGTGCTCCACTGCTGAGGAGAATCATGAATACAATGAAAGTCTCAAACCAGTTGTGTTCAACTATGCTGTAGCAGGTTTTTCTAAGATTCCACCAAGTTTTTCCTTTGCCATCTTCTATACTTACTTGACAACATGGAAATTTCTGCACACAACCTGCATTAGATTAAGAGATGTTAGTATCCAAAAGCCAATTACTTAAAAGTCATTATTTACTGTAGTATATATTATTAGCAGCTTTTACTAATTTTATAAGATTTTTTTTTAAGTAATCCCTAGAATACTAAATAGGCTATCACATCACACAGGATGATGACTATTTGAGTTAAGAAAACTAATCTGGAGGGAAACTAGATAAGAGTATACTTAATTATGAAAGATGTCAATCCAAAAAATCAATATTTTGGACTATTGGCATGTATGTAACTCTTCTATTTGTTGATGGAGTCAAACAAATACTTATTTCTTCCAAATTTCAAGGGCCCTTTCAAATAGCTGAAAAGTATTTTACCAATAGAAAAGTTAAGGAAGTTTCTTAGTTACAAGTTGTGTGCAGTGGCCAGATACATGAAAGACTAGGGAAACTTTGTTTTTTCATCTGATTTTCAGAGTTCTGGGCTAAAAATATTTTCTTTTGATTTTTGAGGACATGAAGGACGTATTTGAAACCCCCAAGAACCTAAATGTGCCTAGTAACAATGCCATTTTAGTAATACATCTCTAAGTCAACAGTTATTCTACAACCTTCAGTAAAACAGGCTTCTGGTTCAAGAGCTTCTTCACTTTCAATTTCTGCTTGCTCGCCCTCTCCAGGAGGAGCAATATCAACAGTGCTGCCTTCTGATGAGCTTGATGCATTTAGTTTCTGTAAGTAAAATTCCACAAAACAATTTTTTCTCATTAGACACATATTCTGTAAAAAATGGTACTGAATCAAATCATGCCAGGCTAACTTTTAAAGAATGGCAAATTTATAAATATGCATAATTACAAGTAAAACCACAATAATAACATGTAAATTTTATAATTCTGTTTCACAGTTTATTTTCTCATAGGGAAGAATTAAATATAATTTGGCTACTAACCTGATCCATGTATATGACTGGTGAAGTATTCTGAGTAGTATTAATACTGGTGAGCTTGCATGCACCACACTCTCAGGTTATTTCATTTTCTTTACTGTTATGCTGAATTACACTGAAAATGTGTCTTAGTTTTCCCAGCAAAATGAGCTAACACAAATTTGCATATATACCTTCTTGTCCACTACATATTTTTTTAACCTGGATTTAAAAGTTGTAAATTTAATGGCATTTAATGGCAAATTTCTGCACAATTTAATTTTTGCAGAAAGCACAAATTACCAGAGCTGAAACATCTTTGCATTCCAGTCTCCTGTGCTGTTTGAGAGACCTTCTGATGTACTTTCCATCCCAAATTTTTCTATCATTCTACTGCTTTTTTGTGCAGTGGAATACTATAGTCCTTACTACAGTAAAAGCACTTCTAGATCTGAAAACTGCAAGAACTGGAGAGTGATAAAAAATAAGTTAAATGAAGAAAGTTTTTACCAACTAGATTAAAAATCTGATCAGGTCATACAGTTTATCCGTCACACAAGACTGGCCATAATTTTGCCCATTTAAGAAAGCGTACTTTGAAAGGAATATCCTGGTAAAGATGCAAACAAATGCAATAATTGGACATAATGTTTGTAACTTGTTTTCAGTTGACAGTACTGTTGTACGGTTGTAATTTTTTCATTCAAAATACTTTCTCTTTTACTGTGAAATAAGGTTTGTAATTAGAAGGCAACATTAAAGAAATAATGGCAGTCAAATTCTTCTGATGTATCACGTGAAGGAGTTGTACATGGGAATTTCACAAGGGATGCAGAATGCACTTCTCACTTAAATACTTTAAATTGTACAGGTACGGATGTAACAAAAGCGCATTCCAGCACTGAGTAGATTTGTGCTTTTAGCTAAGTAGAACTGATCATGTCCTTTGACCTTTGGAAGAAAGTAATGTTTAGAAAGTATGAAGATCTTTCTATACTATTTGTTGAGAGAGTGCTTAATATCAACTACTTTTCACATTTAGTTTTCAAGATAGTGACATTTTTAGAATATAAAAATATCCTACTCTTTAGATTTCACAACAAATAATAAACAGTGACTTGTTTCTTGAAAGAGGCACTTTCCATGTATTTTCTTCTTCAGAGACACTGCTGAAAATTAAAACTAGTTATTTAACTCTCCAGTTGAAACACAGTCTCTTCAGGAAAATGTATTAGCAGCTAAGGGCTTTTTCTTCCAGAAATTAAGTAAATGGCACAAATATCTTAATACAGCTTTGTAAGGAATTATTTTCTCATATTTAACGTTTACATGATGTGAATGAAGTTTTAAACAAAAATCATGTTGAATGATGGATAATTTCGGAGATAATTTTCAAGAAGCTGCCTTTTGTACACACAATATGTCGTCTCTCAGACCTCAGGTCCCATGGTTGTTACTGCATTGTGACCAACAATGTTGTATTTCACTTCTCATACTGCACTTCCTCTACGATTTCCAAAATTTATCTATGTAAAACAGTTCCAGCCGTGTTGCCTCTAAATTGAATAATTTTATTACTGGTCATGTAAATCTGTGAGTCTGAGATTAAGTACTGTGTATCTCATTGTGAGAATATTTTAAATTTCTCTATTACATTTACAGCCAGAATCCACTATAATGTACACTATATTAAACATTCTTAGCACACCACCTTATTATCCACATGTAAGGCTGTCTCCCTTTTAAAAATAATACTTGTGAATTAACTCTCTTATTGTATAACCCTGAAATACCAAGAAATAAGAAACCTTCCATTGAAATGATAGGCAGTTTCTTAATTAAATAAAACTAAAATATTGAAAAAATAATTTTCTGTCAAATATTCAACTTAGGAAAAGTAAAATTAATTAATGGCCTGATCCATCATCATTAAATAAATTACTGATTTAATAGTAGCAAGATAAATGTTCATAGTAAGCATCCATTACAAATCTATCAGTGCAAATTAAAAGGCAGTCAAATTTTTAACTGCATTTTCCCATGTACAATCTGCTGCAGATAGTTCTGTCAGTATAGTTTCCAAAGTCAAGTGACAGAAGTGCAATTTATAACCAGTACAAACAAAAACTACTATAATTATTTTCCGTAATTTTCATATAAAGCATTCTCTTCATTATTTTTCATATGATCTCAAACAATCACATTATTAAGAGAAAAACCTCATTACTTAATAAAACTCCTCTTCTTTGCTTCAAGACCCTAAATTAGAAAAGAACCAATATATTTTAAATAAGGCGATGTTAATGATATTCTTTCTAGTAATAAATCTAATAAAACTAATAGGAAGCTCAAGATACGTGATGGATTAGCACAATCTTCTTATCAGCTCATAAATGTGGTTATCAGCCTCTAGAACACACCATGCCCTGTAAATATTTATTTGCATTTTCAATTATATCACATTTTCCTTTATAAGGAAACATTTGAAAGCAGTTGCTTATGATGCAGCATTCTCAAGGCCTGAATCAGCAAAACGACATGCTTGACTAGAGCAGAAGCCTGAGCAATATTGTGGAAATCACACACAAAAATAAAAGAAACAATAAGACTACCTCAGTGGGATTATATTTTTCTGAAAACAGTATTATAAATATTATTGTGTAGGATAGAAAAGAAAAAAATGCTTCATCACCCACCCAAATACTTGGTTAATGTATGTATAATCAGCCTCCATAATGTTCTTCCAGAGCAGTGCATCTCTTATCAACAGCTTCAATCATTAAAACAAGCTTTGACCAATAGCATGTTAATGTGCCCATTTACAAGAAAATGCATTCACTTAAGACCCAGTCTTGCTCTCATTTGATTCTATTCTAAATTTTAATAAGAGCAAGAGCAGGCTACTGAAGTTTAAGCTTTACAAACGGCTTCATGATTCAAGTGACAATAAAATAAAAGGATTCAGCCATTACAAATTGCCATGTCGTAATTCAGCCATGTGGTTTTATCCTTTCAGTCTTGAAAGCTGCACTGTAATTGAGTGAAAAAATATAAAATAATGGAGATTGATGATTCCAAAGTGATTCTAAACTGACTTTAAATCTCAGATCTTAAGACCTTTGACTTTTATATAATGTTAAGAATGTAATTATAAAATCTCTCTCCTTAGAGAGTTTTGTTTGGTGTTTGAAGCAGATCTTGGTTTAAAATTTGTTCATTAAAATCTGTGAATTTTCAGAATACCCTCCAATACTAATTTTTTTGGCATCTCTGGGCAATTCAGACCACAATAGCTAGGTCATACTACACTACAGTTAAGGGTATCAGGTTAACCACTTGGTAATCCTTTTGAAGCCAATGAAACTCTGCCTGAAGGAAACAGCTTTCAATCCTACTACAGGACTGAAATATCAGTCCCCTCCAAATTTTGATGCCTCGTTTTACTGGAATAATTTAGCCTCAGTTGCATGTAACTTTGGCTCCTCTGTTATAATTGCTGTCGCTATTCCTGAAGGCTCTGCCAATTATGCATCAATCGAGGGCATGTTTGCCTATAATGAAAAAAATACCTAGGATAAATAGATACACATGCAGTTTTATAAAAATGATGCTGACTACTCCGTAGACTTTCTAATTTACACAACTAAGTCCCTCAGCTCATTTATGGAACTCATGATTGTGAAGCACATTCCAAACACCACTATTTATAAAGGGGTTTAAGAAAAGAGAAGTTGCAAAATGTTTAGCTTTTGACAGTTCTTTAGGGAGAGTTATTTGCTAGGTATAATTTTAGCAATTATGAAACTGTTTGCTTTGCTTCCAGTTTATAAAACTCAAGATATTCACTGTCCAAATGAATATAGTGTGTAGTTTGTAGCATCTTGAAGATCTGCTTTACAGTGCATTGTAGATTTAAAAGTACAACTGTAATTTTTACACTAGTAGGTACTGCAATAATTCAAATGTTATTCATTAAGGAGTTGAACTCATGGCAGTAATTATTTCAAAATCACTTAACACATTTCATAAAATATTTACATTTATAAGGGCTGAATCAAAAAGGGTTGTTTTTATTTTTTAAAAACTATGCATGCTCCCTTTTTCTTTGGCTTCTTTAGCGTAAAACATTCCAATACTTTTATGATCCATACTCCAAAACCTGAAGAGCATGCAGTTATTGCTAAATACTGTATTTAAATATTCAGAAAAACCATTAGCGGAGTTAAAAAATGTATGTTGGGTTTGCCAATCCCACCTGACCATGCTGTGATGTGAGTCCCAAGACTCAGCAGAGAGCAGCTGTGCATGTTTCTACTCTTGCAATGGATAGGGAAGGTACATAGCTGAATAGCATGCAGGCCAATCAAAATCCATTAAAAAGTGATTATATATATATATACATATATATGTATAACTTGCTTAGGTAACCTGTGTGAAAGTGGTGACACGTTGCTCTACCTGGTTAAAAAGCACCAGAGCTGCATTCTTGATTGCTCCAGCTTGGTTTTACCCCTGTGAGAAGTAAGAATGGTAGGTAGTGAAGTTCAAGACACAGGATGACTAGTTTCTCTCTTTTTGGAATCTCTAATTCAAACATGGCTTTAACACACTTAAAACATAATTAAAAATATTTTATTATTAGCTGGAAAAAAACATACCACCTGAAATGTTCAACCAACTTTTCTACAGAACTTGTTAGTTTATTTTAGATAAATTAGAAATATAGATGCTAGAACTAGTAATCTGCACACAGAAATTGTGATTAATAAATAACGGTGGAATTAATGAAATTAACAAAGACATGGTTAGCAGATCTGGAAACTATTCCTGTATTTATATAGTCCTTAATACTTATTAATTAAAGTTTTAATGGTTGGGTTTATTTCATGTCCTAGTCTTTGTTTAACTGACTATGTGATTACCTCTTTTATTTGAAAAATATGTACATACAAGAAGCAAAATACTTTGAAGATGGATGCCTTCCCATTCCTCCTTCACCCTCTAATAATGGTAGAGCTCCTAGATCTTCTTGAAAATAAACATCCTTATTTTCTCTTCAACTCAAATGTGATGAATTATCACATTTTGTAAAGTTTCTAGTTCAGATTTAGTATGCTATACACTTCTGAATCTATAATCTTTATCTCATTGTTTCAAAAGAGGATTGTAGCAGTGCCTGGACAGTGGAGCATCAGTGTGGCCAGAGATATGGTTTAAATCATTAACCACAGCTATTCTATAACTTAAATAATTTGTCACTTCTGAAAATACTGTTCCAGAATTGGTCAGTTTTAGAAAAAAAAATATATATATATATTGCTGGACATTTCAAACATGATAATAAAAAAAATTGATGAAATCCTGCTGAGTCTGTTTTGGCTAAGAAATTTATTGAAGCCCAATGAAAATGCTTATTTTTTGGGAATGCAGTAACTCTGTTCTTGTTGTTGTCACTTCATCTAGACACAAAGGCCCTGATGAAGCCAATCAGAAAACTGAATTTATTGTTTTCAAAATTCAGTAGATTTGATGATGAAGGATACTTTAAATTTTTTCAAAATCACCTGTTGTGATCATCAAAAGACTGCTGAGTAGCCTTATTTCTCCAATCTGAATTTGTATTTACTGTACAGACACTGTAGATAGAAAAGATTTTTGAATTGTGAATTATTGAGGTCTGTAAGTATATGTATTTCTTTAGTTGTAAAATAAGTTTTCCATAACTAAGAAATATACTTGAAACTATTTTTCCATGTTGAAATGTAAAAACATATTTATAAAGCTGTCAGTCAGCTCTAATGAACTGTTGTTAAGTGGTGTACAATGTACAATAGTTAGGAGTCTTATCTTTGCTAAGATTAACATAGTTACTAATTTCACAATTAAAACAGCATCCACATGCTAATGTTAAAACCCACCAAATTATCCCCTTCAGCTATTTCTAATTTTTTTATCTTCAAAGGTAATTATCTTGAGTATCTTTTCTTCAGAGCAGAAATCTGGTTTTTTTCTGATGATTACCTCATTGGGTTTGCACTTCTCTTTTTCTGATAATTAAAAAATCCTCCTTCAAAGTATCAATGAAATTTTCATTTCTTGCAGGTATTTTCAGCCAATTATTACTCTAAAGCAGTAAGTAACTTTATAATTGAAAAAAATTTTATGGCTAATCCAAAAAGAGGTGTCCTCAAATTTCTAGTGATATGCTAAACTTCTAGTGCTAAACTAAACAAGAAAGATCTTGTTTAGGTCTGAAATTTGCTATCAGGTTCCAGAATAGATTCTGGCAGATTTTAGAAGTTATTAACCAGCAAATTAATTAGAAAGTGTTTCCATGAAAGCATTAGAAGAGGAAAAAAAAAAAAAAAATAGCTAGGCTTCCCAATGAAGCTTGATGGCTAGAGTTATTTTCTACTGTAGTGTATATGACTAAAAAAATAGGAACTATTACAATTTGTTCCTCACTCACCCACAATTATAGTAATTACTTGCTCCTGGTATATTCCTCAGGAAAACACAGGCTGTGCCCCACTTCTAGCATAACAGACTTCAGATAATCATTCTGCTCTTAACATCAGTGACAGTCAGTAAGAAACCAGAAAAAAAAAAATTAATTTTACAGTTCCTGTGCAAATCTAGCTTTCCACAGCTCTGTGGAAATGTTAAATAAAATGTTAAATAAAATGTTATTATAGGGGATATCTCCTCAAGGTATTTTATATGTACTGCCACAGTTAAGGCAGGAAAAGTAGGAAAAGTTCTGCCCCATCTCTTACCCCTCCTTTTGTGGACCAGGCCTTCTAGCAGGAATGCTTTCCCAGTAGGACCCCTTGAGAGGCAAAACAAAGCAAGTGATGGTGTACTGTTCTAGAGAGGTGACTTAAACACTGCACCAATGTAGTCTTTATCTTCCTTAAAAGACAATCGGAAGGCAGCAAAAGTAGTAAAAAAGTAGTGAAAGCAGTACTGTTGACTTGGTAGGAGAGGATTGGGAAACATCACAGATTCCTGTCACACGCCAGAACTTCTGTTCATATATTCTAAATCCAGTGGATTTTTATAGACACAATCAAATTACCCACATTTATTCTTTCCATAGAAATAATCCAGAAGGAGTTGAATAAGGAATCCAGAGCAGAAAGTGAAATTCACAATTTTCAGTATACTGTCTTTTTAGATACTGTTCACAGTATACAAACTTGCACTGTATGAATACATGTCAGGCAGTTAAACAATAGACAGTTGTGTGTGAGCAGAACTTGATGGAAATATTATTGCTTCAGTTTCCCAATGGCATTGACTACTACGGTCTATGAAAATACTGAAGCAGCATAGAAATCCTAAACCTATCTTAACCCTATTGACAATTTCTCCACAATTTCTTAATATTAATACCATCCATTGTTTACTGCTGGATTTCCCACAGCCACCTGAAATTTTCACTGTCCAATTGGTTTCTCTTCCTGAAGACATATAGATACCAGTCCATTAAAAAAAGGGGCAAAATCCCTTTTGATTTATTTCTGACCAGAAACTTTAGGATGGCCTTAGAAGATAAAGGTGTGATGCCTGAACCAGGCAAAGCTGGAATTGAACAGAGAAATTGACTTGTGAAAGTCACCTTGAAATTGGCATTCAGAAGTTGTCAACACATCAAGAAGGGCTTTTACTCCATTTTCTTGTGGTGTACATACATCACATATTCACCTGGAAAGCAGAGGAGTTTCTGCCTTTGCATTGCATTAGTTTTTTCCTCAACTGTTCTGATAGATTGTATGGTAGTACATTGTAAACAGAGCCATTCAATCTACCTTACAGGAGAAATAAACCTATGTTTATTTATTATTCCATAGGAGTAATACCTATGGCACAACCAGTGACCTAACTTCTCTGAGGCAGAGAAAGTGGCAAAGACTGCCATGGGATCACTAACCAGGTGTGGATGGAAACTTTCCAAGTTCCTTCAGTGCAGAGGTTAATGTCATGTAACCACAAATTCAGTATCTGCACACCCCCACAATGTCCTAATGCGTATTACAAACCTTTTAAAAAGTACCATATTCCAGAAATTTTTAGGCTTATAACTTGACGGAGTTAATAGGAAGGCACTCATAATTGTATTTCTCAAAGTTTTCTGCCACAAGGACAGCAGAAAATATATAGAGTAGTGCCATTTAAAAAAACATCAGAAAATATGAAAGGACGTAGAAGATTTTGCTAAAGATTCATTGGAAATGAAAACCAAATTTTATTAGATCAACTCTTATGAAAAACATTTAACTCTCAGACACAGAATCACTCTGGCTTTTTTTTTAATACTAGTTGATCTCTTAATTTACACTGCTTTACACTCCTGTATTTCTTATATTCTAAACTTACCATGGATAAGCACTACTGCTGTACTATTTTATATATCTGCGTTGAAACTGTTTGTCTCACAACTGAGCAACTCAGATGATAGAATATCTTGTTCTTCATCTTAAAATTGTTACACAGAGCAGGTTTTTTTTT